TTGCTCTGGGTTTTTTTTTGCGATGCAGTGGCTACAAATGCCTGCCTCGGCAACAGCAATTCTGCTTTAACCCTATCATAGCTCAGAATGTAAATCTGCTACTTGTTGCTGCAACTCTGTGTTCTATCTACCATGCCTTTGTAGGCAAATGGCAAGCAGCCTGTCATGTGTCCAGCATGACTCGATCACTCCTTCAAGTGGGTATGGGTGGTTTCTACAAACTCACCCCAATACTTTTGCACTCCCATGGGGTCCTTAGCTCCCCATGGTTCAGGTCCTACATTAGTGCAAGTCTCTATTTTATCCCACAACATGCTTCATGTTTCCTGTGTACACCCCGGCCACTCCACAGGAGGAGCCATGGCTTGAGGCTTTTTCCTGTGAAATAGAGCAATAGTATATTACACAACAACCTTAAAGCAACCCTGACAGCACACACACAGACCAAGCCCTGCTTTCGCACACACAGAACAGCTCCTCTTGGTGCAGCTATGCGCCCCACTGCCCAGGCCCTGTTCTCAGTCTGCAGTGTTTGTACTATGAGAATCTGGGATTCCGGGTTGAGAGAAACAAAACACAATAAAGAAATACAACTAGTTTATTAATACACAACCCTATCACAACTACCAACTAAGGTGTGGTGTGATACGATACTTGCGCACTCCACTGCACGGCCCCACTCTATTCGTAGTATCCCAAAATGTTTCTCACAGTCTCACAGACCTGGAATCCCATACTTGTCACCAGTTATGTTTCAATACCTAGCATTCCCGTGGACAAAGACTGGACACCAAACACAATGTAAACAATCAAATGCTCTAGTCTATTTATTGAGCTATTAGTGCAAAGCAGATATTTTTGTATTACTGCGAAGCAGGTTACATACATACCATCCCCTGGCTGAATGGGATACCGCTGAGCAGGAGAAGGAGATGGAACATGTTGCCTGATCAGAGGGGTGGTAGGCAGTGTGTTGGTAGGGAGTCCCCTGAATCAAGGTGCTCATCTGGCCTTCTCACTCGTCCATCCCTGCACAGGTGCTTATATCCTCCCTTGAGTTGGAGTGGAAAATTACCAGTTGCAACATCAGCGCACATGTGGCCAGCATGTGAACAGAGGTTTACTGGTGTAAGACTCCCTTTTGCTAACAGCGGTGTTAACTCCCCTATTTTGAATGCGATGTTCCCACAACCTGTGCCAAACAGTACTTGCTGTGGTATGGAGTACCTCTTTGGCTAGTTTGGGTCAGGTGTCCTGTCTCTGCTGCCTCCCAGCTTTCCCTCCTCCCTGGCAGCCCATAAGGCTCACAGAGTCCTTGGCCAAACCCCAACATCATTGTTATCAGCTCTGTTCCCAGGCTGAAAGTCAAAACCACAGCACTGCACCAGCTACCAAGAAGGAGAAAAATGACTGCTACTGCTGAACCTGGGACAGTATCCACCCCTTATTCCATACCATTCACGTCATGCTCAGATCCCGCATTTTCAATATACCATCACTCTTATCTCAGTGCAGTCTTATCTTAGTGCTTGGACCAGTCCCTATAAAGCTGCTGAGTCAATCTGGTCCATAATGTCAGGCTCCATCTCTTGTAACAGTCTTTCAGAGCAGGAGAGACTGTGTGCAGTGTTCACACTTGGATTGTGTTCACTGGATCATGAGTCCATCTCTGTGTTGCATCTCTGCTCTCATGGCCTGAAGTGTCATGGGCCCACCAGGCTCAGAATAATTCAGTGTCCTCTTCAGCAGTTTTTGCAGCTTGTTGCTGGGGACTCCATACAGCTGCCTTTCATCTCCAGTGCTTCCAAAGCACTGGAGGAGCCCAGTGGACTGGGTACTTGCCCATAATGTCCCACGCACCTTGCCACTCATGACTGTCCATCCTCGGGGAAAATCTGGTCCTCTTCTATCGTCGTCTAACCCCAGACAAGACCCAAACCCGACTCTGATTAACTTTTGAGATCAGAGAAAATGATGGTGTGTAAAACACCGTCTGTATGTGTGCCAACATGGTGATCCCCATCACAATCAGCAGGCAGGTCTCAAGGATACCCAAAGGCCATCCAAAACCTTCAGAACTCTCAAACGATGCTGCTGTACTTGTCACTGGGGCTGGTGTAGCTGCTGTGCTTGCCGGCTCTCTCACCACCAGCTTCTCTTTTTCTGAGTCCAGCTCTTCCTCCTCTGCCTTGCTGGGAAATGCTGCGGGGTCTCCTGCTTCCCCCTGGGGCTCAGCGGGCGGCTTCCGGGGAATGCTCTCGGCCGTTGCGGGGCTGGGCTCGGCTGCGGGGCTCGGCTCCTCCGCCGCCTTCTCCCGCTGCTCGGCAGCCGCCTCCTTCCGCTCCTCAACCACCCCGACCTCCTCCACTGGCAGATGTTCCCTGCTGTCCTCCGGCCCTGCTCCCGCTGCCGCTTGGTCCCTGGGGCTGATCTCCGGGGCTGCTTCAGCAGCCGCTGGCTCCCTGGGCCGCTCCCCCTCAGCTCTCCATGGCCTCACGCAGACGGAGGCGAGGGCCAGGACGGTGAGGAGCAGCCAGACGGCCAGGTACAAGTCCACGGCCACGTCCGTCCCGTCCTGCTGCCAGAGACCACCCGTATTACAAGTCATTGCCATAAAGTACATGAGACAAGAACCTTAGCCCAAGCCCCACACTTGATAAACACTAACACAGCAAATTCCGGCTCTAAGTAAGTTACAACATTCTGAAGCTGTGAGGTCAAGAGGAACAACTCTGAGAGCCAATAAATCAGCATTGTGACAAGTGACTATTAATCCGGTCAGATCTGTCGTTATCTCAACCCTTTGTGTACCATGTTCGGTGCCAGGAAGAACTTGTGGTTTAAACTCAGCTCATTTGCTCACTCCCACCCTTCTTTCCCTCCCCCTACTCCTGGAGCGACGGAGAGGAGAATTGAAGAGAATGCAATTCCCACAGGTTGAGATAAGAACAGTTTAGTAACTAAGGTATAACACAAATCACTACTGCTACCACCAATAATAACAATGATAAAGGAAATAACAAGGGAAGAGAATACAACCACTCTCCATCAGCTGACTGATATAACTCACCCCCTCAGCCCGACCAACCAATAGATACCTCCTCCAACCCTGCCATTCACCTAGCCCTTTTGGGTAGCTCTCTGTTACATCCCGGGCATGACATGCTGTGGTATGGAATACCTCTTTGCTCAGTTTGTGTCAGGTGTCCTGTCTCTGCTTCCTCCCAGCTTTCCCTCCTCCCTGGCAGAGCATAAGGCTCACAAAGTCCTTGGCCAAACCCCAACATCATTGTTATCAGCTGTGTTCCCAGGCCGAAACTCAAAACACAGCACTGCACCAGCTACCAAGAAGGAGAAAAATGACTGCTACTGCTAAACCCAGGACACTGGCAGAGCATGAGACTGAAAAGTCTTTGATCAGAGTAAGCGTTACTTAGTAACAGCTAAAACCTCTGTGTGTTACCAGCATTGTTCTCAGAGTAAAGCCAAAACACAGCACTGCACCAGCTGCTAGGAAGGAGAAAAATCACTGTTACAGCTGAAATCAGTATACCTTAGCTAAAGTAGCTAAACTGCTAAACTAAAGTAGCTAAAGCAGCTAAACTGCTACTAGTGATGGTTATGCTTTTCTACCACAGAGAGACAGGAGTTACTCTCTTCTGTCCTCCAGCTGAGTAGCTGGAGATCATCTCATGTGTTGGAGGGTGTAGTGATAAATTTTAGCTTGGGACAGAGCTGGCATTACTACTTCCTTGACACTGAATGCAGGGTAGCCTGTGGCTTGTAGGGTGTGTATGGCCATGCAGACAATTAGCAGTACGTGTTGGAAAAGTTAGAACTCTGTAAATATATCAAATGAGAACACCAGGTTTCAGGCTGACAAGTATTTTGTGTGAAAGACAGGAGGACCAAATTGCTTTCTGGCCTGTGCTGCGCTGTGTTAGTCTGTTGTCAAGGACAGTTGTATATAAAGGTCAGGGACCATAAATACTACAGCAATACAGACAGTAAAGACGTGTTTGACTATTCAAGCTCCCTCCTTCAAGGATACGCATTTTTATTGCTTATGAGTGTCACAATGTAAAGTGTCCCTTTAAAAGACCTGTTTGCCAGGCATTTCTCGTCTTCAGATGCAGTGAATTGTCCCAGGAATCGTGTGGAAGAAGTCTGGTGATCCAGTGTCAAGTCTACTGGGGTGGCTAGATTGGACAAGTTGGCTGCTGATCTGCTGAAGGGGAAGAGTCATGGAGACATTCCCAATATGTTTATGGCAGAAGTGTAAGACGTAGAAGATGAGTGTGGATTAGAGGAGCCTCTCTTGAAGACCTTGGGACAGAGAAAGTGATTGTGGGGTGATTGGCATTGACTTGTTTTTTTCTACAATACAGAAGACAGGGGCCTGCAGTCCTCACAAGGGCTGAGTATTCCTTGTTACACTGGGTAGAGATTTGGCTTTTTGATTTACTCTTGAAATGTACCTCAAACAAGTCACTTTAAGCAAATTATTCTGTCATTTGATCAGTAGGTGTGGGACTGCTTTAGGAGGTAGGAATTAACCAACAAAAAAACCCCATCATCCAGTTCCTTTTTTTACCAGTCTCTAGATAGTGACAAATACCAACAAATCTGAGCACTTCCTGTGTGGCTGATTGTCCACAGACAGCATGTGTAACTAATCACTAGTTACTAGGTCCTAGGTGCCCCTCCATGCGTATGGGAGTGCTTTGATGTTTGCCCACCATTTGCAAATTGTTTTTTAATAGAATACCCAAAACACATCTACTGATTAGAAGGTTTGGTTTGTTACCTTGCCACTGCCTTGCATCAGAGCCATATTTACTGTAAGTAAAGTGTCTCTATTAAGGACATTTATTGTGGAGCCATATTAAAGATGGCACTATGAATCCTACCCTAAAATATGTATGGCCAAAAATCATCAAGCTGACACTACAAAGCAAATTTTACATTGTTTTATAACAACTTCGTGTTTTCCTCCTTAGGTGTGAAAACCTGCGTGTGTACAAACTGGGCCTCTTTTCAGGTCTTTGGTGGATGCTAGCACTTTTCTGCTGGATCAGTGACAAAGCATTTTGTGAGATCTGGTCCTCATTTAATTTCCCTTATTTGCACTGTGTATGGTAAGTGTTATGTGTAAAGTCCAGAGTTTGATTAAGATATGATATATTGTCACCATGTTACAGAATCGCAACATGGTTGGGGTTGGAAGATACTTCTGGAGATCATCCCCCTGCTAAAGCAGGTTCACCTAGAGCAGGTTGCACAGGTTTGTGTCCAGGCAGGTTTTGAATATTTCCCAAGAAGGAGACTCCACAACTTTTGGGCAGCCTGTCCTAGTGCTCTGCCCCCCTCAAAGTAAAGAAGTTCTTTATCATATTCACATAGAAGCTCCTGTGTTACAGTTTGTGCCTGTTGCCCCTCATCCTGTTGCTGGGCACCACTGCAAAGTGTCTGGCCCCATCCTCTAGACACTGACCCTGAAGGTATTTGTGTGCATTAGTAAGATCCCCTCCCAGTTGTCTTCTGTAGGCTGAACAGGCACAGCCCTCTCAGCCTTTCCCCATCGGGGGTGTTCCAGTCCTCTAATCATCACTGTAGCCCTCCACTGGACTCTCTCCAGTGGCTCCTTGTCTTGTACTGAGGAGTCCAGACCTGGACACAGTACTGTGGTTGCAGCCTCACAAGCACAGAGTAGTGTGGGAGGATTGCGTCCTGCAACCTGCTGGCAGTGCTTTTCCTAATGGACCTCAGAATACCACTGGCCTTCTTAGCCACAAGGGCACATTACCCTTCTGTGCAGTCTGGTAGCTATTTCTGGTTAAGGCTTCATAGGATTACTGTTAAGATTATACGTCAGAGCAAGTCTCATGCTATCCAAGGTGGTAGATTTAGGAGTCTCCCTGGCCTGATCAGATTCTTCAGACACTGAGTTCATTAATTCTAACTGAATTCCTTGTTCTACTGGTTACTAAAAATTCTGCAGCACTGCTCAACTGGAAGCTTAAATTTCCACTGCTAACAGCTGAGGTGAAGTGGGGGAGCAGTGAGGAACTTCGATGCCTTTTCTCTTTTACCACCTGGCAAGTTGTGCTCTCTTATTCAAGATACCATATCTCAGCATTTCTACTCACGTCTGTCATATGCAGAGAGGCAAAAAAGCTGCAGCCAGTTTAGACCAAGGATAAGCTATGGTTTCGTTGTTTTCTTGATTTTCTGTATTCTTTGCCTGCATGCAAAGGGCAGCCAGCAACCCTTGGGGGGGGTACTCAGGGGAAGAAGATGGATAGACTGATTATAAAGCTTGGAGAGATGTTTGATTGCTTTATTGAAGTCATGTTACTTATTTTTCCTTTTTTCTGGGGGGGGTGGGTGTCTATTCTTAGGCACATTTTGATCTGTCTTGCGGCGTACCTGGGTTGCGTCTGCTTTGCTTACTTCGATGCTGCCTCTGAGATCCCCGAGCAGGGCCCCGTCATAAAGTTCTGGCCCAGTGAAAGATGGGCATTCATTGGGGTTCCCTACGTCATCCTCCTCTGTGCACACAAGAAAGCACCTGTGAAGGTCACATGAAGTTAGCCACGGAACACGGATGGAGATGCAACTTATATTCCAGCACAGACAATATTTAAATGATGATAATTGAATAGGGTTGTATTTTATCTTCTTCCTAAGGTATGCAGCACTTCAGGTGTCATAGAAAGAGGAAGCAAGTGTGCTCTATCCTCTCTGGAGAGGAGAGAGGAAGCAGGAAGGTGGAGGCCCTCAAACACTAAAGTAACCACTGCCTTCTCTGGTTGGCTCTGTTTTGCACTGTATTTTCAATTGAGCATTTCTCTTGATAAAAACTCTTTCCAAATACCAGGCTCAAGGAATGATGTTTCTGCAGTAGGTCTTCTCTGGTGCTTAATTCACTCCATTTGTAACTTGTGGCTTAAGGCCTTGTTTGCAAAATAAGCCAGTCCAAGATGCCTACATGCCATTCTGTATTCTTCTCAACTATGATTTTGATGTGGGTGCACATCTCCACAAGAGTGTGCTCAAAGCACGTGCTCCTCCCAGCCTGGCATATGTACAGTGAATTTGGCTGTGCATCACATTGGATCACAGAGTATGTGGTTAATTCCCCAAGTACAAAAGGCGACAAGTGCAAAGTGTTTGCAACTGGGCAACTGAATCAGTGCAGTTAGGCAGTGTAAATGCAAGAATAGCTGGCAGAAGATTGTCACTAAAATTAAAGAGTTCAAAGGTTTTGAAAGGTTTTGAATTTTTCTGTAGACTGACCTTTAGACATTTGTATGCTGCATATTTCCCTCTTACAGAAATGTCAGAGAAGTCCCTTTCTACCTCTACAGAGACATTTGGTCTTGAATTTGGTATTGAAGTTCACACAGAAGTCTGAACATTAACTTCAGTGACATCTCAGGTCAGCATGGATTGACAATGTGATTAAACTACAAAAACTCATGGGTGCCTACCTGTAGATCCAATTTGAGAGTTAACTTCTCACCAAGACATTGCAAAGTGACATGAACGATAGTCCAGTGCTCCGCTAGCTATACTGATACTTTTCTAGAAAAAAAGTAGATGACTGCTTAAAAACCAAGCTGAAGACTTAGATTTCAGTGAGCAATAAAATGCAACATTGAATCTTGCATTCTTAGAAAACAACAGTATGTTCAAATTTTCTGTTTGTTTTCAGCCTGTTTTGTAAAGATAAAGGATGTATAGATCTGTTTAAGGTTATATTTTGGGTTGAGATTCAGGAATGGCTGTGTTTTTTGCAGCAATTTATGCTAGTTCTGTTTAAAAAATGGTGCAAAGTGTAGGCATATTTTTCAAATGTTAGCAGCTGTAGATGGTAGTAGCTGCAGTCTTGGAAAAAAAGGGTGTGCTTACGTTCCACCTAACATCTGAACTGTAAGTAGGGTAAGGCTTTGGATATTTTTCCAAATATTTCTTTTTTTCATATTAGACCAGGAAATACCATTTCCTTTGTGCTTTCCTTTGTATCATGTTGTACCTTTTTTTTATTAATGTGAAAATGTAACTCTATACAGTGTTATCTTTAGGAAGGTGACTTTTAACAAGAACTTTGAAGTGAACTAACTTTCAAGCATTGTAAAACGTTTAAGATAACTCTTATATTCAAATCTGTGCTTAGAAAACAAGAGCTAAGGTGTATGCTGTTACGCTTAAAGCAAAGTTTTGTTAGTGGGAGATGTGACTGTCTTCTTGAGAACTTCAAAGCTGGTAAGTAGCCTACTGTCAGATTGACTGATGGATCATAAATGCAGCGAAATCTGTCCAGTGGAACAGTGCAGATTTGTATCACTTGCTAGTAGATTTGTCTGAGAGAAACATGATCTTTTTGACACAGTCACGTAATTTTTATATGAAACTTGTTTGTAAAAATTCATATGGTAATGTTAGTCTTTGAAACACTTCTGCTTTTTTCCTTTTCCTTCCTTTCTCCCTAAATATGAAATACACTTCTCAGGTATTAAAATTCATATGATTAGATCCTTATACACATAGGCTTGCTGGCTGGAACCCAGCTAATGATGTTGTTGCCTGACATGGTCCTACTTTGAATAAGATTTTTCAATATTGTTTTCTAAATTATTATATTATGGTAAATAAGTTATTTTCAGTATTGCTTGGGAACTTAGTAACTGCAGACGTAATGCAGAATTACTGGAGCCTTCCTACTTAGTATTTTTTTGAAAGCAACTTTTGACTCAAAGGGCTCTAATCAACGTGCTGTCAGCTGCTGTCTTCTTCTCTACAGAGTCTGACTGCTCACAAAGAAGTAATTTTGTAATTGAAAGACCTAGCAGAGAGCATTCAGCTATTGTAGAGGTGAGCAAATATAGGTACAGGCCAAGAATCATCTCCTGTATTTTTATTAACTAACCTCTAGCCTTTGTACTCTTCAAACAGAAATCACTATCTGATGTCCACTATAGAACTAGTTGGGAGTATTCTACTGTAATAACAGCCCACAACTTCTAGGTGTAGTTACTGCACTTTACATTAAAATGATATCAACTTTTATGACAAAGGCTACACTTGTTTCAAAAAGTTAAAAAAAAAAGGCAGTTTTTATCAGATTCACAGCTTTACAGAGTGAACTTTCATGATAACATTAGTACCCAAAGAAGTATATGATTGGCATACAGGGGTTTGTGCACTGCCCTGATCATGCACGGGAATAAACATGCACAAGTAAGTGTATTATGTTGGAGATAAAGTGATGCACCCTCAGGTTTTAAAGCCTCAAAATGCTTTCCTCCCTTGCTGGCAGGAAGTGTGTGGGTTTGTAGTCTTTAGGTTCAACTAGTATTTTAGTTTAAATAGTGGGATGCAATAATGTGTTGAGTATAATGTAGATTCTGTATATTGGTGTGTGAAATCCGTCATTCCTTGAAGGTTAAACTTCAGGTTATTCAAGAAAGGGTATTTAGCTCTCTGTGATGGCAAACACTTGCCCAGTTCACAGTCACAAAAATTCAATAAGTAGTATGTAAGGAGTGGTGTTGGGGTTTTTGTTTTTCTTCATCTCTGCTGAAGTCTGTATACTGAATGTTTGTGGAAAGTATGTAATACTTTGCAACATTAAATTGCATTTGAAACAAATATTGTTTGCCTTTTCATACACTGTGTTTGCGGAAAAGAATGGAGCTGCCTAATGCCTTGAAGTATAGGAAGGACAACCTTCCTCACTCAGGAGTTCTGCCTCTTAGAGGAGGAGGGAGACTGTCGAAGACCATTAATAAATGACATAGGGACCAAACTGATTTTTTGTAGGGAAAGCAAATACCTGGAAAACTGCAAGCCCATGAATCAGTAATGGCTAAGAATTTGTGGCTGTTTCCACAAATCCAGAAATCTGTGTTAAAGTACTTGGAGAGCAAAGTGTGTATCTTCAGTGTTTGTTACCCAACAGTGTGCTCCTTACTTAGGCTACATAGTAGCTTTGCATCTCCGTCTCTGCTCCTGCTTCCCTTTTACCACATTTCCTCTCACCCCATGTAAAAGATCTTTTTTGAGATGTTCGTAGATCCCCATAAGCCAATGTGATCTGGTTTGAAATAACTGTTGTGTGAAAGCATAGCTATAATTCAAGAATGTTACTCACCCAGAGTTAATGTCTTGCAGTTGGCAAGATGTCAAAAACAGCTGGTGAATTGGCTCATATATCATCCTGTTACTCAGCCTGCTGTATCTGGCGATTATTGACATGGTTTCCCATGGAAACCAGGAGAATGTCGTCATAGCACTGAATTTTTCTGATAACTTCAGAGCTTCTGGCTTCTTTTGACCAGATATGACAGAGGAAGAGCCTTAGACATAATTTCCTACAAGCTGTGCAAGACAGATGGTTAGGAAGAGAAGCCAAGCCTCTGGAACAAGCTGTCTCAAGAGCCATGTTGTTAAAATAACCAAGAACATACTCAGGAAAGAAAGCAATGATCGAGTTTTGGGTGCGCTTTGATTGAGGCTCATACCAGCTGCAGCATCAGGAGCCAGTTAGTTACACATGGAAGGAGTTTGACAGGTTTCTGTTCCAGAGATGAAGGAGTCACAGAGTAGCCTTTTTCTCCAAACTTCTGAGACAAACTTCATCAAGAGGGGCAGTTTGGAATCGTGTATCACCTGACTGTTGGTAAAACGCTGCAAACTGAGAAAGACTGAAGTTTCAAAGAGGTGACTTTTATGCCCACAAACTCAGGAACCATAAAAAAAGTTTGTAAACTCCCAGTATATACTGAGGAGTTTGTCAGGGGCAAGTGGTGTCTTCCTCATTTAGTTTTCTTCTGTGATACGGTATTTGCTGTCCCTGTGGCTGTAGAACAAACAGTTATACTATTAGACTTTGATACTGATAAAATTTCTAACACAGTCTAACAGGATATTATCATAAAAGTCCTAGAAAACCTGAGTTTGGCAAAAAATGTTTAAAGATAAGGGTTTATAAAAGGTTTAAAGATAAATAAAGATCCTTGCACCAGGTTTCCACCATAGGAAGTCTTTGCATATCTGAGATCATGAGGAGCAGATTGGGTAAGTGGTACATGTTTTCTCTACAGGCACAAGGGAGAGAGTTAATGACACAGACTAGTGCCTCAAAGCACAGTGTAAGGCACACAGCAAAGGGGAAGCTACGTCTGCTGTTTAACAAATGCTCAGTTCTTACTTGATGCTCCATGTTCATTTTGTGTCACTTTCCAAACTATGATGAACAGCACTATGTATTTTCACTGAGGGAAAGGGCTAATTACCATGGGGAGGGACAAAACCTACTGTGCCAGGAAAGAGCTGTGATCTGTGTTACCAATAGCTCTTCTAATTTGTCTGCAGAAATGGAGAAGTGCTGCAAGAAGAAAAATTCATAGGAAAGGAAAAATATCCACAGTATTGTAACTAATAGTGAGAATGCTCATGGTATTTTGCAATCAGAGACCATGTGGCCCAGCAGCCTTTTCCTTTGGCCTTGCTGCTTGATGCTTTTTTTCTCAGATCTTCATCTGTTCTGCCTGGTACCCTCATGTGTGGTTGTCCAATTCATCATTTCTTTGAATTTCTCCTCCTCTCTCTCTCGCTCTCCACAGCAAGTAAAACTGCTGCATTCTTGCTTTCAAGCTAGTACCTGTGCTAGCAGTTATTCAATCTTTAATTCTCTATAGAATGTAGAATGACTGTCAGGGATGCAGGGCTGAAAATTAATAGGCAGGAGAGCTACACAGTATCTTCTAACCTGTTAATAGTGGTCACAGTTTGCAGTCA